GTGTCATCATCAGGATCAGACAGAATCTGGTTCATTTCTTCATCAAAGTAACCTCTTTGGTAAGCCACCTGTACAGGCACTCTGTGACTGTGTACAGGGTCAATGATGCCTCCTGTGGCAATTTGTGCTTCAAGGAGACGAATTCCATGATCTTTCACAATCAGATCTTTTTTCAAGGCTTGGAACAAAGAAATTGTGTYTCCAGTGTAGGGATCTTTGTAACCGGTGACGGCTCTTTCTGCTGAGAGCAGTTTATTTTTCCACTCACTGCCAACCACTCTTTGGTCTACAGCTTGGTCGACTGAAAGTTTCTTGTTGTTCACTGGGTCAATGACAAAACCAGTTGCTGCTTGTGCTTCCAAAAGCACAAGAGAAGTGCCAGGGGGCAGCAAACCTCTTGTCTTTGCTTCATAAATGCTAATAACTTTCTTTGTAGATTCAACTCTGACACCTGCTATACAGTTTGTAGCTCCAAGGTACTTTTGAATTGATTCCATTTTACTGACATTCTCCTCTGTTACCTCCCCTTGTATAATCTGAGTGAAAAGGTCCTTTGAGATTATTTTTGACTCATACAACTCGCTGGCTGAGACCTGCTTTCTAAGTCCTCTGAACTTCTTTTCTTTGGACGATACCTCTGTAATGATAACTGTGAGTATTTCAGTGATGTCCTCTATTTTCAGGGCTCCTGACTTGAATTGTTGTGTCAGCTGCTTCCTTTTTTGTTCTGATATGTATTCAGAGATCAACACTTCCCACAATGTCACCTCTTTGTTTTTGTACTTTCCTGCATTCATGGTAATAGTTGTGTTTTTCAATGTGAGCACTATTTGTTCATCTGTGTGGAATACATGGGATTTCTCTTCAGACAGGGGTAGTAGAAGTAGCCCACTTTCTGGATCCTCCTCACATTGACTTATCAGCTGACAGTAAGAGAGGTTTTCTTTTGTATTTGGGTCAAAGAATCCCTTTGCATCATCAGTGGGGTTCGATAGAATTTTGCTCGTTTTTTCATCAAGATATCCCCTTTTAATAGCAACATGAACAGGTAGCCTGTGACTTTGATTTGGATCAATGATTCCTCCGGTTGCTATCTGAGCCTCGAGAAGACGAATGCCATCGTTTCTTTGAATCAGCTCTTCATTCAATGCTTCAAACAGTGATATCGTTGCATCTGTGTATGGATCTTTATAGCCAGTGACAGCTCGTTCAGCTGACAGAAGGTGTTCGTGAACATCTAGTCCAATTACCTTCTCTCTCGCTGCCTCATCGACAGAATAGAACTTGTTTTTGATTGGATCAATCACCCATCCTGTTGCAGCTTGCGCTTCAAGCAGAAGTAGTGCAATACCAGGTGTCAAGAGATCCTTTGTTTTTGCTTCATATATGCTCATTACTTTCTGGGAGGGAAGGACCTTAATCCCGGCAATGCTTCTGGTTCCCTTAAGGTATCCTCTCACAGATTTACGTTGGGTCACTGCTTCAAAAGCAAGTTCTCTTTCATTAACTTGTTTGAATGTAGCTGCATCAATGATATCTGAATTCAGAAGCTGTTGTGCAGAGACAGGCTTTCTGAGGCCCATTACCATCTTGGGAGTTTCACTCTTCTCTAGTTTTTCAATGGTGGAAGTCACCATTGTGATTAAGGTTTGTTTGGTAATGTTTTGTGTTCTGTATTTTTCAATGAATTCAAGCCGTTGTTCCTCAGTGAAGAACCGAGCGTGAAGCAGTTCCCATAGAGAAACCAATTTCCCTGAATAGCGTCCAAATGATATTTTCACAGCTGTCTTTTCAAATTCTTGCTTTATCTCTGTGTCAGTCAACACTTTTGTCTTTGTTCCTGTAGCTTTTGGTTTGTCACTCAGTGTCAATAGCAACAGTCCTGTTTCCTTATCTTTAAAGCATCTGCCCAACATCTCCATGTATGTCAGATTTTCTTGTGTCTGCGGGTCAAAAAAGCCTTTTGTGTCATCAGTTGGATCGATCAGGATTTGATTAAGTTCTGCATCAAAATATCCTTTTCTATATGCAACCTCAAGAGGGAGGTGAAGGCACTTCAAGGGATCAATGATTCCACCTGTAGCGATCTGGGCCTCAAGTAAACGGATGCCATGCTGCTTGATAATTAAATCCTTTTGCAAAGCTTGGAAAAGTGAGATCTTTTGACCAGTGTATGGATCTGTGTAACCAGTGACTGCCCTCTCTGCAGACAAAAGTTTTTCATACATATGTGGCCCAATTACCTTTTCTCTGAGAGCTTGTGCCACTGTAAGTTTTTGGTTTTTCTGAGGATCAACAATGAACCCTGTGGCTGCTTGTGCTTCAAGGAGGCAGAGGGCAGTACCAGGTGTGAGAACACCGATTCTCTGTGCCTCATAGATACTTAACTTCTGATTGGAGGGTTGCAGAATCACACCAGCTACACAGCTTTTTCCTTGTAGGAACTCTCTCACACTGTCCATTTTCATCACATCTGTGCTTGTCAGCTGTCCCTGGATCAAGCTGTTGTATGTTTGCTCATTCACAATTTCCAGCTCCAAAAGATCCACAACAGAGACCTCTCCTCTGAGACTTTGAAAGTTCAACCCTGCTTGCTTTTTTATCTCCTTATTTTCAATAATCTCCAAAATGGTCACAATAAGTTGCTCAATTGTGATTTTCCTTGACTTGAAGAGCTTGAAAAACTCTTGCCGTTTGTCCTCAGACAGATACTCAGAATTGATAAGATCCCACAGTGTTTTGTGCTTGCCCTTGAACCTGCCATACTTAACAGTAACTGCTGTTTTGAATGTTTCTCGAAGATTATCATCGATGTTGATCTTGTTACTTTTACCTTTGAGTGGCAAGAGACACATACCTGTACTGGGATCTGTGACACATCTGGCTATGAGCTGCAAGTATGTCAGGTTCTCATGGGTATTAGGGTCAAAAAATCCTTTGGTGTCATCACTTGGATCACTAAGGATCTGATTCATTTCCTCATTGAAGTACCCTCTTTTGTAGGCCACATGGACAGGTATCCGATGGCTGTTCACTGGGTCTATGATTCCACCAGTGGCAATCTGGGCTTCCAGGAGCCGAATTCCATGGTCTTTTACGATGAGATCTTTTTGCATTGCTTGGAACAAAGAGATTATTTTCCCATTATATGGATCTATGTAACCAGTGACAGCTTTCTCTGCTGACCGCAGCTTTTGACATATATCTGGCCCCACAATCTTTGCTTTGACGGCATCATCCACTGAAAACTTTCTGTTTCCAATCGGGTCAATAATAAACCCTGTTGCTGCCTGTGCCTCCAGCAGAATCAGGGCAGTTCCTGGCATCAGCTTTCCTTTCTTTCTGGCTTGGTCGATGGTCATGATCTGAGAATTAGGAAGCATAATACCTGCAATACTGTCTTTCCCCTGTAGGTACACATTTACATTTTCATCTTCCATCATGTCTTTCACTGACTTTTTTCCCTTTGTCAGATCCTCCAGGACCTCTTTACTTATGATGTCTGCCTCCTGAAGTTGTTTGGCTGTGACAGGTTCTCTGATGCCTTCAAAGACAACTTTAGTTGTTTTCACAGACTTCTCTATCACTTCCAGAACTGTTGTAATGATCATCTGGATAGTGAGCGTCCTCTCTCTGTACTTCTGACAGAAGCTGGTCCTCTGCTGTTCATCAAAGTACTCTGACATCAGCAGTTCCCACAGAGATACTGTCATTCCCATGTACTTCCCACATGTCACTTTCACCTTCACTTCTTTGAAGGCCATTTTAGTTTTGTAATCAATGAAGTGAAAATTCAGCCTGTCTGACTTTTCAAGGAGCGGGAGGAGGCACAGTCCAGTGACAGGATCAGTGACGCATCTTTCCATCAGATGAAGGTAAGAAAGATTATCTTCTGTGTTTGGGTCAAAAAACCCTTTTGTGTCATCCCCTGAATCCTCTAGTATGGCATTCATCTCTTCGTTGAAATAACCTCTCTTGAAGGCTACGTCTGTGGGAAGTCTGTGGCTGTTGATTGGGTCTATTATTCCACCTGTTGCAATTTGTGCCTCAAGTAGACGAATCCCATGCTCCCTAACAATGAGGTCTTTTGACATGGCTTGGAACAGGGAAATAGTTTCACCTGTGTATGGATCTTTGTATCCAGTGACTGCTCTCTCAGCAGAACGCAGTTTTGCATGATATTCTGGGCCAATAAGTTTGATCTTGACGGCTTCATCCACAGTGAACTTTTTATTTTCTACTGGGTCAATCATGAATCCAGTTGCAGCTTGTGCCTCCAGGAGAACTAGCGCTGTCCCTGGCATCAGTATTCTTTGTTTCATGGCCTGATAAATGCTCATTCTCTGATTGGATGAAAGCAAAGCAATTCCTGAAATGCTGCCTTTGCCCTGCAAGTATTCTTTCACTGTTTCCATCAACAGCACATCCTGTGTTGTGGTCTTTCCCTGTCGTAGGTCATCAAATGTTTCTTGGTCAATGACCTTTGATTCGAAGAGTTCAGTGGAGGAAATGCCTCGTCGAAGACCTTTGAATGTGATGCAGACAGGAAGGAGCAACAGGCCTGTGTCTGGCTCCACCGTGCATTTCTCCAGAAGGTTTTGGTAACTGAGAGTTTCTTGTGAACTTGGATTGTAGAAAATTTTCAGCTCAGACATCTGGTCATTGAGCAAACCTTTCTCATAGTAGCCTCTTTGAATTGCAGATTCAACTGAGATATTTGTTTTCTCAATGGGATCAATCAGGCCTTGTGTGGTTATCTGCGCTTCCAGCAGCCGTAAGCCGTTATCTCGTGGGATCAAATCTTTCTGCATGGCTTGGAATACAGATATTATTTGGTTGGTATAGGGGTCTACATAGCCACTGATTGCTTTCTCTGCTGTGAGGAGTTTCTCTTTCATTTCCGGTCCAACTATTTCCTCTTTAACAGCATCTGCAACAGGAAGTATTCTATTGTTTATTGGGTCTATGATTCCCACTGTGGCAGCTTGTGCTTCAAGCAGAGCCAATGCTGTCCCTGGTTTAAGCAGACGCTTTTTCATGGCTTGATATATGGTCATTTTCTCCTTTGTCTTCTCCAGAAATATACCAGCCACGGGTCTGTGGACTTCTGTGTGGCCATTTTGCTTCATGTCTAGATTTTCCATCTTGACCTAAAGAACTGTACAACATAGAGATTGATGTTTACATATGTTTGAATATTGCATGCATTGTCTATAGGTATCATTACACAACATTTTGTGTTTGTTTCAGAAAGGTGTTGTTTAAAAACTTGTTTAGAGAGAATGGGAATGTACTGCATGTAAAGATGAATGTAATGTTTTAAATAATTTTCCCACCACTGGTACTATTTTATAATGATATTATATTGAAATGTATGTTTGTTTTATTTGCTCTTTTGGATTAGCCCAATTTCTTTGAGTGCAGACGAATGCCTTCCAGCCTGGAGGGAGGCTTGGGACCCCTGGTGTGATCCTTACACTTAATGTATATGAGTAAAAGCACTGAGGGTTTTCAGCTTAAGTTCTTCAGTTAAGTTTCGTTCATGCCAGTTGATATCTATGTTTCATAATGTTAAGTTATTAATGTTATATAGTTTATTGGTTTGCCCACATTGTCAAATTCAGATACCTTAACTCTTAACCCTGTGATAAGTTTTTACGATGCATGTTCTGTGTTCCATCTTACATAACAAACCTTCTGGGTTGCCTCTGATTGCTGGGAGGCCGTTCCTAAATCCAGGATGAAGACCAAAGGAACTCTTTATTGTCAGAGGTTGAGACTTTGAAATATTGTCCTGATAGAGATAATGACAGAAAAAGTCAAGAGTAAATTAATGTAATCAAGATAAGATCAGAATTTCTACATGCAGAGAAGAAAATAAATGATAAGAAAAGCAATGAACCTCTGGCAGTTCATGAACATGTTTTACAAGCCTGGTGTATTTGCTTTGGCCGAATGTGACACAAAGCTTCAAAACTAGAACAGCCAGATGCCAGGTGTTGTAACAACACTCATGAAACACTATGCCAATCTTAACCCTTTAACTTCGACATTATCATTATCTTGCTTTACAGGCAGCCATTGTTTAAGGTTTAACCAACCCAAGAACATCAGGCTAACATTAGAAATGTGTGACAATAAACTGATTCATAAGTTCAGATGTTGCACAAATTGATCTTAAACAAATACTACACTGGTTAGAGCATTCTTTTTATTTTGCAGATTGTACAGATTAGTGATTCGATGAGGAGATATAGAAGAACTGACATCGCAGTGAAATAGAAACTCCAACGCAGACACAATTTCTACTGCAGAGTTCAGAGAGTTAAAGACATAATGCATAAGTATTTTCAAAGGGGTAACTTTTAAGGGTGTACGACTACTTTACTACTGGGTTTCCTTGAACATGTAACTGCACCTTATTCATTCTACGTGTCTGAACTCTTCCAGGACTGTTAAGTGATCACACACACAGACAAAGGACTCTCTCCGCCCCTCCTGCTGAGGTTTATGTTCAACATGATGTCATCGTGGCCAGTAGGAGTGACCGAAAGAAAGAGGGTGTGGAGGAGAACTCAACCAAACCTGCTCACTCTTTTAATAACGCAGGTCAGAGGGGACATGTGGATCATAGACAAGCCTCTATTCTGTGTATTATTACTTCCACGTGTTACTTCTGTTGGAATATAGTTTTAAAAAAATCACCTCAATTAGCGTCACTGCATGAAATGGAAATGAGTTATTGTGGCAGTGTTCACAGCAGCTCGTGAGCACCACGCTGTTAAAAATACTGCTCTCCTGTCATTTATAATCTCAGCGGAATTAAGGCGTGAACAGTTTTTTCACTGCGCACCGTGCGACAACGGCGAGGTCACCACGATGCAGTCCCGGCATTGACCTCCACCAGCCAAGTAGCACAAATTTCTGCTTCTGTAAAACAGACTGAAGCTGTTTATTGTGGCAGCAGCAATCATGTGGTGCTGCTGTGTCTCTGTTTGAATTCAACACCCACTTTGTAAATGTTTGATGTTTTGAATTTTCACTTTACATTTATGACACAGTGTGTGTTTACTTATCATATCATGAATTAAAATACCTCATATCAGCTGCAGTAAAATGTTCCCACAAAGGGTTACTGTGAAAACACTATTTAATCTTCACATTCAGTACTTTGGTAAATGAACCTTCCTGCCCTGAAGCAGACATGTAAACCCTCTATTTTCTCTGCCAAACACGTCTGAGGTTCCATTATTTATTAGTTTGCAGGATTCCACAAAACCAACAGAACAGGAGACGTGTTAGAACGATGCGATAGGATCAGACAAGATCCCATTAAGTGTTGGTGCGGATCCAGGATTTCTTTCACTTTCTTTAATTTTGCAAATTTGGACTGACTTTTTGAGTGTGTGCAATTTGGTGCAGATCCAAATATAAATCCAGATCTAATGGGTATGGTAAATATGGTTTCCTAAGGAGCCTTGTTTTGTGGTTTTGTGGTTGACTTTGTAAAAGCACCAACAATACTACTGTCTGGCCGCAACCATGACTTTATAAAGTTTATCATTTCATTTCTTGCTGCCAAATATAACAACTGAACATTGAATATACAATAAATGTGGACTTAGTTAAACCTTATTATCTGTTTGGATTCAATCTGAATTATTGTCTTTGCTGATTGTTTGGTTCAAAGAAATAATTTGTCTCCTTAACCGTTTCTTAGAATATGAAATGAAATCGAAACATATTAGATTTATTGACTTCGACAAATAATTACCAGTCATAAAACTTAATAAATTACTTCCTGTCACTCAACTAATCCCTGCAACTCCAATTCTAATGAAACAATTTATTTAAGGGTTACAAATACTGTACAATCACAAAACTCAATCCTTACTATCAACATTTTAAAATATCTTTAGAATGAATTAAGAACATACACAAAATGTAGCCTGTAACTGATTGACAGTGATTGATAGGAGTAAAAAAAAACGTGTCTCTAACATGTTTAAATGCAACTTTGGGTTAAACACATTGTCAAAGTAAATTATATGTTCTCATAAATGAAGCTTCAACTTTGCCAAGAAACTGTCAGACTGACAAACATTCTGCTTTTCAGCCTGAGAGAAAACAAGAACCTGCAGAACAATGATGAGATAAAACACCACAGTGCAAATTACCAGTTTCCTTGTGTTTAAGCTCACATGTGCATGTAGCAGTCTTTATCACTGGGGTGAATTCAATAGCAGGAATGAATGAGGAAGCAGAGTATCATTTGAGTTGCACAAGAGTTTCTGCAGCTGTAATTGTGGGGAATGCAGGATTGTAATTACGTGTGTGATCACTGATGCAGACACAATGTTCTGATATTTTCTCAACAGTCACACACAGGCCACCGTTGTGTAAAATGACATTGTAACATCCGTGGTCAAAGGTAATCACAGAAGAATGTTTGCTTTCTCTTTTTTATCAGGAGGGTGTTGGCAGATTGTGCAGCCCACACATTGTTTTTCTTCACTTTTGCTTTGACAAGATTGTCCTGTCCCCTCGACTCACTCAAATGAAACTGAGCAACAGTTCAGATGTGTGTTTTTTCTCGCTGCATTATTAAACCACACTCACAGAAAGATTCAGCTTCTCCTTAATCAGACAGATCATTTTTCTTTTTAAGAGCTTAAAAACTAAGAAGATATTCCTCTTACCTGAGCGTGCTGGAATCCCAGCTCTGCACAGGGTCGCGGTCTGACTCGTCTGCAGTGAGTGTGTTCTTGAAGTGCTCTCGACACCTTAGAGGTAGTCGTGCCTGCTCACTTGTCAGATATACACTAAGTCCAGCTGTGGAGCCCCTCCCCTCAGGAGGAGCAGCCTCTTCCCCTCTGTGACGGAGCCGCAGCTGCAGAGATGCCAAGAATTCCCATCGACTTCCTGAGCTCAGGTCTATTGTGCTATTGAACAATAACGGCAAACTGACCGACTGTGCTGAAGGTGAGGAGGTTCAATAAAGTGTCACTAAACATTAACACAAACACCGAAGCTCGGAGATTATTGGGCTCAAAGACAGAAACATGAAACTTTTTTTTTTTTGTCTTTTAATGATGTTTGGTTAATTATTTCTCTTTTTACATTGTACAGGGAGGCGGCAAATTATCTTCAGTTCAGCTCAGGATTGATTCAACAAGTTTGTGCTACAATGCAAGTCATTATTCCAAATGATCACCCCCACCCCCACAAAACCCAAAGTACATGAAACAATAAATACATGTAAAAAAAGAAACAAGCTAAATTAAACAAATGAAGGTCGTTCTGGGGGAAATAAACCAAAAGTTCCTCGAATTGCTGAGGCCTCAAATAACAGGCGACTCTATTGAAATGTTTGATAAATTGAATGAAACATTTCAACCAGTCAGGTGAGATGTCTGATTTAAGCTGTTTCAAGTATCAACACTTGTACATGTTGAGTGTATAACCCAGTTAAATGTGATGTTTCTCCATAAATAAAGGACACAGCACATGAATCACATCATTTCCAAATCCCCCAAAGACCCCTCACGTGACCGCTGTATGGACGGGGGGGGGGGGGGCATTCTCGTAATTTTCCTTTAATTTGTCGCCCTTCTTTTCCCTAAACAACTTTAATGAGAGCAAGAAAACTCTTATCCGGCTTATCTAACCAGTCAGTGTGAGACAAGCTGAGACGGGCTTTGTCTCTGTGGAGGAGCTTCCCTCAGGTTTGGCAGGTTTTCAGCAGAGAATATCAGAGGCTGGCTCGGGTCAGGCGGGGGCTTGCATTAATAATAAAGTAAAAACTCCCTGCGTCACAAAACAAGACCGGGTACAGAGAGCAGCTGCTGTTAGCTGCAATGAGACGGATGCAGAGACATTAGTCACGATTTAATGACAACGTTGAAGTCTAACGTTGTCTGTGACTAATGTGTCGCTGGAAACAGTTTGGAAACACTTTGTGAACCTGAAAGCTTCAGTAGGTGACGAGGAAAGTATTAAAGTTCTGTATAGTGTTCGATTTAAAGTTATTCACTGGACTAGAGCTTCTTAAATTTCAGTAATTACTGGAAAAGCTGGAAAGTCCCTCAGTGGAGCGGCTTCCTCTGCCAAGGCCCGACAGATGCCTTCATTTCAAACAAGCTTTATCAAAGCCACATTATCAAAGCCACATTATCTCAGCGACACGACATCATTAGTCACAGGTTTCCAACCTGATACATTTAAATCCACTACATTCAGGTCTCTTTTATTCTACACACTCATAAATACCAGTCCCTTAAACACAACGCTTGAGCTTCTTTTATTAAAATCAATGAATTATTCAGTGAAAATKTTTAAAAAAAAAAAAAAACCTCCATATCTGTGTTAAAGCTTAAGACATGAGCAAGGACATGAGAGAGGAAGAGAACAGGAGAAATTGGACACGTTCCAGACACTTACCCTTATTTTTCCCAAGCCGCTTCCTGCACAGGAGATTAGCCCGAGCACCAAAAGACAACAGGGAGACTACATCTTTACAAGTGACAAAACACGACACGAAAAAAACAAGTTTGCAGAATTGCACAACAACAAGCAAACTGATTTCCACATAACTTGATGAAAGGATGTGGTGTTTTTTTAAATTTTGGTGCAGATCCAGATCACAGGGCTGATTTTTTCTTTAACTTTGTGAGATCAGAGGCTATTTTTCAACATGTTTAAAGAAATAATTCATGAATCTTGATCAAAACAATCAGACGTATTTTTATCAGACTGTTTCTGCGAGTGTGTGAA